GTCTGGCCACAATGGTCACCATTTCCCTGGAATTGAACCCAGACAAGCATACAGAAACCAGTTACTAAACCTAGTTGTCTCCTTCCCTTATTTTTTCAGCAGCTTTTTAAGTTAACCATTCATAACAACCTGGAGAATTTCTGTCTTTTAGAAGGGCTTGAGATCTAGTGAAGGGGCCTGTTGCTGAAAGAGGAACTTCAGGTAAGCACTTTTTATGAGATGAATTATTTTCATGTAAGAGTATAGGCCTACAATGTTTAAAACTTTTCACTTGAGGCCTACTCTGCCTTTTGGTTCACCTTCTTGGATAAGAAGGTGAACCATGCCAGTAGTGGACAAGAAGATGGACATGCCAATAGTGAATGGGGCCCCTGGGTAAGAGTCAAATGAAAAAGGTAATCTAGTTCCTACACTCTAGCTGGAGTTTCCTCAATATAAACTCCCATTGTCACAATTGTAACACATAGACAGCAGACACCCACTGTAGGTTTTAATTTAAATGATCTGAATAGTCAAAGCTGTTTTCATTCAGGTGGGGGGGGGAGGGTCCCAATCCATGGTAATGAATAATAGATTGGAAATCATTATGGTGTTTAGCCACCTCATGTCTTTCACAGTATCTGTGCCTTATACAGCCATCAACTTTGTTTTTTTCATTTAGCTTTTACAGAGAAAAGTCATAACTACAGGAAATTACTTTTGTCATGCCAGGTAGGATTGTTCCCTCAAACCCTCCCCGCCTCAAAAAAAAAAAAAATTCCTGGAGATCTCCTCAGGCTAAATGAATGTTCTGAAATCATCACTAATCATCATAACATAGTTTTCAGGAAATTGCCTCTGGACATCTCTTTTCTTGTCTCAATAGAGATAACAAAACTCCATGCAAATTCTTGAGGAAAAAGAAGGACACAGGACAATTCAAGTGGAAGCCTTAAGGAGGTCTGGCAAAATTTCATCCTGTCCCTTTCCCATCTCTCCCCATCACCATTTTTTAAAAATTTAACAGGAAAATAATTTTGCAGTTAGATTTAATTTTTAATATTAATAATTAAAATTAATATTTGTACTGTGATGAATTGTATTTCATAGATTGTACATTCATTTTATGTAAAACACAAAATATTTGATAATATGCAGGCTACAAAATTTAAAATTTAAAATGCAAAGGAGAAAGAGAAGGAAGCCACTAAAGTTGCCTATTTATAACTCCAAGCAGCTGTACAATGCTTTCCATCATATTTTCCATCGTATTTTTAACACAACTCAACAATAAAACACAACAATGGAACCATTGGCAAAACAATCTAGATGTCCTTTTTATCCATTATTTTTAATACCAACAGTATTGAATCATAAAAATATTTTTGCAAAACAGGAGCCAGGAAAATAGATCCATTAAGCAAAGAATTAAAAAGTATTGTTTCCCTCTATACTCGTACGTATTACCAATCCTGCAGAAGCTAGCACAAGAAAAAGTGTAAGAAGTGCTCGTCTTTTTCAAACTGCATCTTCACGCTTGAAGCATTTAAGTTATTTTCCAAGGTTTGACCTGCAATTTGGATAAGATACGATCTGAGTATTACGGTAACCTTATGTTTTCCTCAGACAATTACAGCATTTTTTCCCCCAGAGGGACAGCCACGGGGATTAGAAACCTTCTCTCAAAACATACATTCAGTGAGATTTTCCTCCAGTTTTAACCCGAGACTGGGAGGCACCTCAAACGAGAAACGGATCCAGAGACGCTTGCGCCCGTTTATGGGTCGTCCCCGACCCCCAAGCACTGCAAACAACCATCAAAGCCCCATATCGGAGCAAACAAGAAGCACTTCTGGAAACTAACTCCACGGGAGTTGTTTACTACGATTAGGCTCGGAAGGGCCCCCCGAATCCCACGCTTCAAGAGACCGAGAAGTCGTCCGCCCGCAGACACGCCCCGTACGAACCGCCCCGCTACTTGGGGGGGTTCAGTCGCCCCGATTCCCCGCGGCGCCCCTTTCTTCTGCCACTCCTCACCGGAGATTTGTAAGCAGATCTCGCGCCTGGGGGTCTGGAGGGTCTGCTCCTCTGCTTCGCCCAAGACCTGCAGGGTGGCGGAGCTTCGAGTTTTCTTGGATGCCGGTGGTGCCGTGGCCGGCAGAGTAGCCGGGGCCGAGTGTCTTCGGCTCCCCACCCCCGAGGTCTTCCGCTTCATGGCGGCGGCGGTAGCGGAGGAGACGACGGAGGCGGCGGCGGCGGCGGCTGCAGGGCACCGGGGCTCATCCCCGCCGCCTCGCCCCCAGTAGGGGTACAAGCAGCCCAACGGGAGCCAAAGCAGGAGGAGGAGCAGCAGCAGCAGCAGCAGCAGGACCAGCAAGAGGAAGAGGAGGGAAGGCAACTGCGGCCGCTTTCTGAAGCGCCGCCCCCTCCCCCCCAGCTGCTCCCAACCTGCCACTTGCCGCCGCGGCTCCCGCTCTCAGCCAGCGCTCCCTCTTCGGCCTCCCCTCACGCTCGCTCCTCATTGGGCCGGGCCGGTGTGAGGTCACAATCGCAGAGCCTCTGACAGAGTGATGTCATAGCGATACACCTGAACACCTGCCTTACAAAGGCGAACTCGTCCTAAGAGGGCCTGCACCGCGGCTCTAATCTTCTCCCCCCACCCCAAAAGAAATTGCAAAAAAAAAAAAAAGGGATTACTTAATTTATCAGGGCGATGCAACCTCCCCGCCTGACATATGTAATATCTTCGGTTGTGAACTGTTGGCCCCCTGTCTCAAAAACCAACTAAAACTTAAGAGGAAAATTTTGAATAATTTTACTTTCCGTGGCGTGTCATTTCTAAAGTGATAAAATATATTGAGCCTTTGTAATAAACATACCACGCAAAAAGTTAAACATAGTATAGGAGGCAGTTAATATTTCATTTTTACACATCAGGAAAGCCCCAATTCACTAGATGAGTCTCTTTCACATGGTAGAAGACGGTGTGTTAAAAGTGACTTCTATAGAAGAACTAGGATTATAGGTTTATTTTATGCATGTTACTTAGCAGGAATTGGCATGGAACTGATGAACCATTTCCAGGAAATGGTTGAATTCCATGGCTGTCACAAGAGGAGAGCCTTCAGTGGTTTATATCTTGATTCCTGGCATGCTTGTACTGAATAGTTAAAATAAGCATTACTGTGAATTTCTTGATTTTACATTTATAAAATTGCTTTAAATTTTGCAGATAGGCAGAGAACCAGGCTGGCAACTGAAAACTGATTAAAAATCAACAACATAATAAATTGACTAGTAATGATAAGATACATGCATGCATACATATCCATGTTTGCTCAATCTCAAATACATTAGCCTCTATGAATTCACTGAAAACAATTCCAGCAGTTGCCGTTTGAAAAAATCTGCCTGTCCAATAAAACTAGAGGGGAAATTTGAACACTTCTAGTTTCCCTTGCTTGAGGCTACACCTGCTGATGACTACATAGATGTGAGGAAAGAGCAATTATAAAATTACAGTATAAGGCAAACTGTTTTGGAACACACCTCATAATATGCATGGAGTTTTTGAATAGTGCATCTATAAAATGTTACCAGCTGTGCTCTTCATTCTCAATTTTCCTGCCTGTTTTGGGGGCGTGTGGAAATATTCACATATAGTGCAGCTACCCTACTTACTGTTGTGGCTTCCCTTTGGGGGAAGTGTGCCATCTGCTGGATATTCACATTCTCACATTTCAAAGGCCATTTTTAATCCCTTATGTCCATTACAAATTTTCATGGGCAAAGAAAGTCAGCATGTTAAGTTCTTAGAAAAGCAGCCATTTCTAGTGTCACGCCACAAACAAGATTCTTCAAAGGACAGGTTTTGTTCCACCAACTTATTTATAGGCAAATCCAGGGGATTTTGAACTATATTTTGTGGAATCCTAGGATTCCAAGAATATTGATAAGGTTTTGTCAGAGATGAAGAGGAAAAACATTCACTTTAATACAGCCAATTTTCTATAATTAAAACTTTACCACCTGAATTGAGGTTCCAGGATTTTTTATTTTTTAAAAAACAGGTTCTGTGGCCTGAAAAACTTTGAAAACTCTCTTGTTAATTTGTTCAACTGAAAACCAAAAAGGAATCATACTGAACCGTCAAGTTAACAGTACTTGCAATGTAATTCTGTATATATACCATTATAATATAGCCATATCATGATGTTGCTGTGATTTGTTGATGTTGTCACACAGGAAAAGAAAATCCAAAATTGCAAGGACAGAATTACACTGGGAAAATGGAAGGTAAGAAGTGCAAACGTGGAAAAGCTCAACCCAGTGAAAGATTAAATTAAATGATCACAAATGGACATCTTAGACATCAGTGAAGTCAGATAGACTAACTATATGATCATAAGAATTGACATCAATTGACAATGTTAAAAGAAATTATAAAAGAATAGACACAAATTACTGTTATGAAGAAAGAGACTAATACTTTTAAGATATATATGCTGACGTGCCATTGACAGAAAATGACTGATCAATGATAAAAATATTTGTTCTGAATGGGATTACACATTAAATGTTTCAGCGTATATTTTGGGAATATAGATGAAACCTTTATTTGTAATGCTCAAACATCAGACAAGAGCTAATATGGCGGAATGGCTACAGAACTGGACCAGAAGCTGGGAAATGCATCTTCAACCATGAAAGTCACTGTGTTTCAGCCCAATCTATTGCATAGGGTTGTGATTGGGAAAACATAAAGCAGAATATATGTCCAGGAAATAAATACTCTATCAAGCCTTGTGGAAATAAATTTTTAGGTAAAGTATTTGAGGACTATGTGGAATAATGGTATTGTAAACCATAGATCAAATTAACCAATGATTTACTGTTGGGTAAATCTCCAACATTTTTTTATTGTTTATAAACTGATCATATCCCTTACATTTACTACTTGGTAAAGGCTAAATTACATAAATTACATAAAATACATTGCTAGAAAAAATAGGCTAAAAGTCTTCGGTAAAATGTGTTTATTGCTAGTTTTTTTTTTTTTTTTGGGTGGGGGAGAGGATTACAATATATCATAAATACTTTTTAAGTAAAATCTTATATATGGCTAAAGTAGTTGGCAGGTATGAAAATTGCTAGTTAAACACACATACATATGTGTGTGTTTTGTCTTAACAATGATTATATTCCAATTCTGCATTGATTTTTAGATAGTTTCCAATGTCAGGCTAAATAAAACACTAAATCCATATATTATATACATTTTGCATTTTCAATTTTTATTTTTGTCTTCATAAATAATCTTAAAATATCAAAGCTGGAGAATCTCTCATTCTCTATAATTCTTTACAACAGTTTTAACCAATATTTCTCAACTAGAACTCCTGGTGGCACCAAGAAGCATTATAAGGAGTCCTTGGCTTACAACCACAATTGAACGCAACATTTCAGTTGTTAAATGAGTCACATCCCACTTTATGACCTTTTTTGCCACAGTTGTCAGGCAAACATAGCCATTGTTAAGTGAATCAGATGGTTATTAAGTGAATCTGGCTTTCTCCATTGACTTTGCTTGTTGGAAGCTAGCTGGGAAAGTTACAAATGGTGATCACATGACCTGGAGACAATGCAACTGTCATAAATACATGCCAGTTGCCAAGTGCCCAAATTTTGATCATGTGATCATGGGGATGGCATTTAATTTCACTGTATGAGGTGCAATGACAATAAACTAATGCTGCAACGGTCGTAAATGTGAAAACTGGTCATAAGTCACTTTTTTCAATGCATTTGTAATTTTGAATGGTCACTAAACAAATGGTTGTAAATCAAGGACTACCTGTATTGTTGCTGAGGACTTCTGGTTAACTGTATCTTAACAACACTTGCATGATTATAATTTTACCACTTCTGCATTATATAATTGATCTTTCCTTTTCTGAACTCTTGGGATCAAAGTGAGCAAAAGTGTGAAAACTATAATCTGAAACCATTAGTTGGGTGTAACACTGATTGTTCTGTTGCATGCACCTTAACAAAATACTGCAGAAAAAAATTGCAGATAACTTTTAATTCAAGATTAGTGGGGCATCAAGACTAAAAATAAAGGTTACCCAGTCAGTAGTCTACCATGAAATTAATTCTCTAAACACTTTTTTCTCATCTTCTAGTTTACAGACTTCAGAACAACATTCACGCCAATTTGGCTTCCAAGGAAGCAATTATAGACAATTAAAGTTTGCATTTTTGTTTTGATCTGAGGTCTTGCTTTAATTAAACACTGAAGAGGAAAAAGGACATTAATTGTTATCCATATGTTTCAATCATTAACACAAAACAGTTAAATTTTAAGTGGAATAGTGTGATTGAAATAAACTCTCTGACTCCATAAAATCATTACTTTTGTTCAGCAGGTTTAATGACTTGTTTTCTTGTTATTGTGTCTTGAGCACAATATTAAGTTTAAAGGCTAATTTTTTGGGGTGTAAAAATCTATTCTGGAGCTATTTCTGCTTTATTAATTTCACAGTAACCTCATTAAATGTGAATTGCCACAATAGTCTGCTGATATATATATATATATATATCACTTGTCTTGACAGATGTATTTTTCTTCTAAAATTCATATATCAATAATCTGAGATCTGTAAGTAAAATCTACTGTTTCAACTCCAGCAAGCTGCAAAACATTATTAATGGGGATATGGTCCAACCTGTTTTGGTCAAGGTGCACAAAGTGAATCTCATCACCTGGAATAAATGGGAAACAAATAATATTAACACTCTCATCTCCACAAAACAGGTACAGCAGCAGCAGCATGTCATCTAGCCAATATGGACTACAGATAGTCCTCAACTTGTAACCATAACGTTCAAAGTTACAATGGCACTAAATAAAGTGACATGATCAGTTTTCATGCTTACAACCATTGCAGCATCCCCATGGTCATGTGATCAAAATTTGGGCACTTGGCAATTCACACGTACTTATGAGAGTTGCACTGTCCTGGAGTCATGTATTCCACATTTGTAACCTTTCCAGCTGGTTTTCAAGAAGCAAAAAAATGGGGGAAGTCACATTCAGTTAACAACCGCATGGTGCTTTTAACAACTGCTGTGATTTGCTTAACCAGTGTGCCAAAAAGGTCGCAAAATGGGATTTGACTCACTTAACAACTGCCTTGCTTACCAATGGAAATTTTGGACTAGTTGTACATTGAGGACTACCTGCATATTTTCCCTGAGCACTGCATCTGGACAAAATACCCTTTTCATCAAGAAATCCTATTATGCTTGGGAATAAGAATAAAAAGGAGCTGTTGCTACATCAGTATAAAGATCATTGAATTGGTTGTGATAAGCATTTTTTTTTAAAAGTAAAACTGTCAAATAGAGCTTGTCATCCCATAACTGGCGATATGCAATCCTCTTGTGTGTGTGCACAGACACACATATATACACACAGAGAAAGAGAGAGAGAGAGAGATGATTTGCTACTGCCTCCGTCTGGATTTTTTTTTCTTTCCAATTTCCCTTTTTAGCCTACAGGCCAAGAGGTTCCTAGTAGTCTCCTATCCAAGTACTAACTAGATCATAGTCTGTTTAAATTTTTAAGATCAGCAAGATCATTTATGTTGTCATCTGTTTGGCCATTGACCAAGAATGAAAATAGAAAATTCTGATGGATGAAAATTCATCGGTCAAGTCAGGAAGAGGACTGTGTCCATTTGCCATGCAAACCCAGGAGAAAGCAATTTGTTAGGCAGAGGCCTACCACCACCACAAACGTCTCTTCATTACAAATGTGTTTGTGCCAATATAACCAGCTTCTTTCTGTAATAACTCATTAGGGTAAGAAGAGGCAGAATCTGGGGGTGGACTGAAGAGTCCTTACGTTCTCACAAGTAAGCCAAGTCCACTCTGGAGTTGTTACGTTCCCACAAGTGATAAAAGTCCAGCCTCCCCTTAAATTCTGTTAACTAGCACCAATTTAGTGCTGAAGATTAGTTAACTAAATTCTTGTGTATAGATTTGAGTAATAAATCTTCTTAACTGGAACTTAATATGTGGTCCCGATTCTTCAGACATGACAGGTCTTATACATGGCATGATCAACTTTTTATCAGGATTTAAACTCAAGAGGCTTATGCTTTTATGACTATAAAATAGATTGCCTAGCCAACAAAAAGTTCTAAATTTATAGTTACTTTACCTGGTCCTAAAATGAAAGTGCCTCCCTGCTGAGCTGGATCACCCTGAAAATCGAATGCAGGGCTCGTCATTGCCCTCCACATGCTTTTAATGCTTCCTGATAGCAAACTGGATTTAACATGAGGGCTGTGCACTGAAAACAATAGCAGAAGAGGAAGTTTATCTGGCAAAAAGCATACATTAGCTCTGTTGTCATTATGAATACATTAGGCTATAGTCCTCTGGGCAGTTACTACCAATTCCAGGAAGATCAGAACTAAGTTCAAAGGAAAGAAATGTGCTTTAGATCAGTGGCCTCCAACTTTTTGGGCACCAGGGACCAATTCTGTGAAGAGATGCAGACTGGAGGGGGTATAGTTTTGTGTGCTGCCTGCATCCTGCGGATTGGGCTTCACTTGTTTGCCTGGCTTGGTTTCTGGCATGCCACGGCCCAGGGATTGGGGACCCCTACTTTAGATCAAAGTACCTTGGATTCTAACACATCTTACATGAGAAACATTTCTGCATGATTTTGCACTGTCTAGGACATGGGTGTCAAACTCGATCGCGTCATATGATGTATTGTGATGTATCGCGATGGTTTTTGCCTTTGCAGAGCCAGGGCGGGTGTGGCTTGCATGCGACGCATCTGGTCTACAGGCCGCCTATTTGACAGGCCTGGTCTAGGATATTCCACGGTTGGAGAATACATTCAGGTTTGAATCAAAATCAGATGCAGCTTGGCAAAGTAACAAACTCCAAAGGGATGTGATGAACTTTTCTTCAATTGATGGCTGTTATAGATCAGTATTTCTCAACCTTGGCAGCTTTAAGGTGGGTCGACTTCAACTTCCAGAATTCCCCAGGTAATGTTGCTATAGGACAGACTAGACAATCACCTGACAGAAATGCTTTCATTTGGATTCCTGCACTGAGCAGGAGGTTATACAATGGCCAAAATGGCCTCCCCAATTCTATAATCAAATGTGATGGGAATGGTATTCCTGATTTTGTATATATGTAGCAAAGTACAGTACTTTGTACAATGAAAGTTCAGTTTCAGTTTACATATCATTAGATAAAGATATATTAGTAGTTTCTGATACTGTAAGTCAGTAGCACAACCCACCTGCTGAGCCGGAGGATTCCCCTCTTTTCATGCCAAGAATTTTATAAATTTCCCTTTGTGGATCTACATATATTTCATGAGGGTAACCTGTCAGATTACAAAATGGCTGCAAACAATATATGTTAGGTATCAATGTAATACACAATGCAGTTCTATTTTTGAAAGCAAATGGTGCAATCCTGTCAGCCCTGCCTTTAATTAAGTCCCATTCCACTGAGTGGAATTTTCTTCCAATTAAACATATTTAATCTGAGCTTTGGCAGCTCTAAGCAAACATGATGAAAGTACCTCCTCCTAAAAAGAATGGGGATAATTTTCAGGAACTTGGAAAGAAGCCTTCAAAGCAGATTTAGTTTATCCCATCTTATTTAAGCAGTCTTACTTATATCGGGATATGCACACATGTACATATACTATATATGTGTGACTGTGTTTATGGATGGACAAGCTTAGAGGTGCAAACCCTGAAACAAAAGAGCTGCATTTACAACCACCTTAACAGAATAAACTGGATTTTCAATTACACTTACCCGAATGTGATGATGTGCTGATTGCCCAATAACCACAAGTCTAACTTTTGCATCCTAAAGCAAAAAAATAAATAAAAATATATTGATCTTAAATTTGCCCACCGATACTTAACAACCCAATCTCTGTGCCAAACTAAAAATGAGATTCGTGGAAATCTTTGAACAATTTTTGCTTTAGCAAAGGCTTGGCCTTCTTTAAAACAACTTCATAAAATGGCATGACCTCTCTTTTTAAATAATCGAGTGGAGCAACTGTATCACTTAGCTACAGGAAATGAGCTCCTGTACATATGCAGCAGCCCTTTTCCCACTGAGAAAAGCATCGGAAGCAACTTTTAACCAAAAGCAATGGGTCTCGACATCTATGCCCTGACAACAGAGCAGATCAAGTTACTTTCTTAGTATGGAGCATTCTGTTTTATACAGCAATACCAGAAACCTGGACTCCATAGCAGCTGAGGCATCATGTAATTAAAGACCTAGTGTTTGCATTGCATAATATATTAATTTAAATTTGGGTAGAATATTTGTTTTGGCACAGCAGAGTGTATGAATTTATCTCCTATGGTTATTTGATAATTCAATGAATTGTGCAAACCCAGACTCAAGTTAACCCAATAACCTATGTCAGGATGGGGTTGAGACCAGCCTATCACCCTAATATTAATGGTCATCTAGGAATTTACAATAAATTTCCATTAGTGGAGATAGTGATCTAAAAGTATTTAAGGCAGCCTATCTGAGTTAATGGTATAATATTACTGATTACACTATTAATACTTTAGAATGGTTATTTGAATGTTAGCCATTTAGTGATAATTAAATCAACATCCCCATGAGTCATTGTTTGCTGATGCCAGAGGCTGTAAACACTTGAGATAGTATTAACAACTTTTATTACAGAGCTCTTTAGAAAGTGGATAAGGCCCTCTGCAGGGTTCATTTTGCCACTTCTGCCCTAACTCCTTGTTGAAAAGCAACCTGATGCAACAAGCATTAAATTAGAACTAGGACTGTCTAAGATACTGAGGGGAGCTTAGCTTTCTTTGTTCAAAGGAATTCTTAGAGGCTTATCAAGGAATTTAAAATCATCACTGTAAATAATAGGAATGGCTAAGCAATGTTTCCAAATATGTAGCATGTTAGAATATCTAAAAGGCCTGGAATTTAACTAATTCACCTAATTTGAAAAATATCTCAAAACCAACTGGCAAAACTGAAATGCCCTTATTCCATCATTTATTTAACCACAAAGGCAGGGCAATTTTCAAAAAGATCTGAGTTACCTATGGGAAAATCCAGTCTTTAAACCCTCTAGTCTAGTGGTTTCCAAATCATTTAGGCTCTTAACAATTAAGTGTGCTATGAACTGACCAGTGTAACTGTAAGTATCTTTCATATACCTGATTTCAAAGTCTATACAATCTTCAAAGGGCTCTATATATTTCAAAATCTATTGGGGTTTAGTGACCTCAAAGGTCTACAATCTTCAGATAGGCAATTATGATTCTTTAAGGAGAGATTAGCTGAGGGCAGATGAAATTTCCATAGTGGATGATTAGCTAAAACACACATCAATGGATTTTCTTCAAATCTGTATAATATGACAATATTTACTTCTATAGTGTACTGTATTAAGCAACATCTTAAAATTACACAGTATTTCAAAGGCTAATGATCTTGAACACGCAATTCTAAGATTAAAATATAGATGCATTTTCTTGGGAGTCATATCAATAAGCAACCCCAGCTAATCATTCTTTTTCTAAAACACACACAACACATATATGAAAACAACTTCACACTATGTAATTTTAGGGAGACTGCAAACTTCTTTGTTAGTAACCAGAACATATATAACTTATGCTTGCACTTACTTGCAAAAATTTCTTGGGAATTTTGCCCAGATCCTCCACATATTCTTTACAGACATAGCACAAAAAATGCTGGGGTGGGGAAAAAAAACAATGGGTGTCAAATCATACATTTGCAAGATAACCTTTTGTTTATTGAAATCTGTTTTATTTGTTCCTGTGTGTTGAATTCATAAAAATCAGGTTAGCAGAAAGCAATAAATATATGTTCTACAACATTCAGGCACAGCACTGATCTAGTTTACCAACTTTTTTCCTGTCTAAATTACGAAGAGGGGTGTTTACAGAACATCCTAAACCACAAGCTACAGAGGCCGTTCACACAACAGGCACAGCCTTGGTGTGATTGCTTTGCTTCCATTTTTGTGTGAACCATTCCCGAATGAAGTTTAATTTTTTATATTAAATTACTTAGCATTGGCTCGCGCGTTTGGCGGATACCCGTGATCCTAGCCTGAACATGCTTATTCGGAAGTAGGCCGCGATCCCTAAAAAAGAAATCGGTGGCGGCTGCGGGAAGCCCCTCGCCCTGGGCGAAATACCCCTCCCCCCCCAATGCTTAGCCCAGCTCAATCTCCAAACAGCTACGCAGAATACCATCATTTTATGGTTACCATTTGCAGTACTTGTCCGGCGGATCTCTCGGGGTTGTCAATCATAAACTTTAATAATAGAAATCCAAAGCCTGTTTACAAACCTGTTTACATAAAGCTACAGCTATAAGGCTATAGCTTAGCCAGGAACCCTTCAATCAACTCGGAGGCTGCAACTGAGATGTCAATCCCCAGCTGGCCGGGGGGAGGGGGAGGAGGGGGAAGGGGGGGTCTCTCTCACCCGCAAGAAGATCACGATCGTCTTCTGTTCCTTGTAAAGAGTCCCGAAGGGGATCCTGTTCCCCACCGCGTCCTCTACCAAGCGCTGAGCTGCGAGTGGCAATTCCGCGGGGTCTTCCCGGGCGCGCTGCCAATCAGTTCGAGCGCCGATTTGCTCCGTGACCGGATCTGCCATGCTGCAACGCCCCAACCCAAACCGATCCCGGCTAACGGAGCCAAGAGGGATGTGCGGATTCCCAGGGTGGGGTTTTCTTTCCCGTTGAGGGATGAGCTCCTCCTCCGGTGGAAGCCGCACAAGCGCTTAAAGGAGGGTTATTTGGAAGTTTCCTGGATGCCGGAAAAGCAGTCGGAGAAGTCAGATCGGGCCTGACTATACTGGTGGTCTTTCGAGCAGCGATGCTTTATTGTTTAGAGCAGGGGTATCCAGCCTTGGTAACTTTTAAGACTTCTGGACTTCAACTCCCAGAATTCCCTAGCCAGCCATGGGAATCCTGGGAGTTGAAGTTCACAAGTCTTAAACTTCTCAAGATTGGAACTTTAAGATCTTTCGTGTTGCCCTCGTTTTCCCTTTTCTTTTCGGATCCCTTCCAGTGTTTTTCCTCTCGAACAGCCATAGAAGCCGACTGGAGCGCTCTCAAGGAAGGCAGCTGTTTGTGCATATATCACATAGTCTCAAAATCTTAAATAGTCTATCTTAAATAGTGGAACAGTCCGCCTCCTGAAATCATGAGTGCTCCCTCCCTGGAGGTTTTCAAGAAACGTTTGCATAGCCTTTTTTCTAGAATCGTTATCGGGATACTTGCATTGGGCAGGGGGTTGGACTAGAAGACCTTTAAAGTCCCCTCTAACCTGTGATTCTAAGCTCAGGAGTCCGAAAATCAGCCTTACAATTCTGGGAATATGTGCCGGCCCTCACTGCTGAACTAGAGTGTAATAATGAAGTTTTAATAGGCTTTAATAATATGGTTTGTTTGGGTTGAGACCAGTGGTGAAATCCAATTTTTTTTACTACCGGTTCTGTGGGCTGGGCTTGGTGCGCATGGCAGGGGAAGGATACTGCAAAATCTCCATTCCCACCCCAGTCCAGGGGAAGGATATTGCAAAATCTCCATTCCCACCCCACTCTGGGGCCAGCCAAAGGTGGTATTTGCCAGTTCTCTGAACTGCTCAAAATTTCTGCTACCGGTTCTCCAGAACCTGTCAGAACCTGCTGGATTTCACCCCTGGTTGAGACCATTGTGAAGTTTAACAGTGGGTTAGGAAACCAACATGTGCCTTAGTCTGTTATGTGAATCCATCCAATTATGGCATATATTTGGATTTATATTTCAAATATATTTTTCATTCTACTTCTTTATGTTTGACAAGAGCTCAAGACCTGACACCTTACTTAAGCAAACACTGCCTTAGAGTGTGCTGGGTTGTGATTTAATATTGTCTTCAGGGTATATGGGAAGTATATTCTGTTGTGATTGACACAACATCTACAAGAATTTTGTTTTCTAAGATAAATTATATCCACTGCCATCAGTTTTGTTTGCTTCTCAAGTGTCTTGTAATTTAGACTTCTCAGTTTGATGCCTTGCAGTGCTGGTGGACTGTAATTTCCATCACCTTTACCCAGCAGGTCAGCCAAAATAACTCTAATTCAGGAATTGCTATCTGTTTGGAATTTGGAATGTACACCCATTTTTATAGTTCTCAGAGCTCCAAAATTGGGCAATAAATAAGTGGTTTTCAGTAGTCCTATTTTCCACATTATTATTAAAAGTGGGGGAGGGGGAGCAAATTTCAAAATAGACATGCTGAATGTTTCTGAATGCCTGAAACCTGAAGACTGAAACACCAAAATGGATTGAAAATGGAATTTCAGTCCTGCCTTAAGCATGAAAGTCAGCTAAGTGTCTTTGGGCTGGTCACTCTCTCAGTCCTTAGGAAGAAATCAGTGGCAAACCACTTCCAAAAACTTTGTCAAAAAAACTGCATAGATTTGTCAATTAAGTCATGACTACTTGGAAGCCTCTCTCGCCTACAGATATCCAGATATTGCTGGATAATTGCTCCTAGAAGGCAACTGTTCTTTAAAAAAAGTGAAGATGGCAGCTATGAAGATAACAATCACAGCTCTGCCCTTTTTGGTCTGTGAATCAAAATGGATGATCTTCACTTAACCATCATGGCTGCCATTTTCACGTTTTTGTAATCATACCCCACAGATACCCCTGGCTCCCAGAATGCTTTACCATTAGTAATTCTGATGGCAGTTGCAGGCAATTATGGTTCAGCTTTTGGAAAGCCACAGGTGCCCAGCCTTGTTCCCCTAAATTTGATTTAGGTTATGCAGAGCCAGTCTTTGACTTGAAGCTTTCTAGAGAGATTGAGATGCTTCAGATACCTGGGAGCCAGGAAATGTTGACTGTCAGGGACTGATCTGCAAGCCTTCTCTGCCATAGCCCTGCCCTCTGGAGCATTTTCCCTCCAGAGATTAGGATAGGTCTGATCCCACTGGTTTTTCATTCACAAGGCCTTGAAGACCTGGCTATGTGCCCAGGCCTGAGGCCACAAGTGAGTGAAGGGCTCCATTTCCTGGTTATGTTGATACCGATGGATTATATCTCCTGAGTCCTGATACCTATTTATACATAAGTTTTTTGGGGGGTTGTTTTGATTTTTAATTATTTTTATGAATATTCATCATCACATGTTGAGATGGGTGTCTATACAAACTGATTGAATGAAAATAAATAAATAATAGATAGATAGATAGATAGATAGATAGATAGATAGATAGATAGATAGTAACTGGGAGCAACTATAACCCAGATAGCTGAAAATTATGACCACTGTAATCCAACATATTTGGAGGATGCTAATTTGAAAATGCCATCTAGGATTATAAAATGAAAGATACTTTGATGAAATAAATAGATTTGGTACTAGCTTTTCCAATAGAGAGATGGATGGTTGGAGAACGTGGAAAAATATATTGCACCTTTATTGACTGACCACTGGGTGTCAGGGGTGCATTGTGCTCCCGACTCATATACCAGCTTTCTAACAATTGGACCATTTGCTGATTGTTAGCAATAGCTTTCACATTCATTTTGGAGACGGTACTTGCCAACACACTACCCTATCATTTTTATTCTGATTTCCATTTTCTCTGACATATCCTGCATGGCTCATCAGTTTCCATCTTTCTCTTACCTTCCTTTTTCTTTAAAAAAAATCTGTATATCCCTGAATACTAAAAACAATACTAACTATGCAGCTATCTGACAGGAAATGCTAATAAAAGATATTTTCCCTCCCTTAGGGATTTTCTGCACTCTCATAATTAGGCCTGGATGAGGTAAAAAAAAAAAAAATCCACCCAAACAGTTTCCAAATAGAAAATACTTGTTCCTTGCTGAAATGGTAAACCCCTTAATGAAAATATTGGCTTTGACTATATTTTCCTTCAAAAATACCATCACTTCTGGTCAACGAATTGCAGAAAGTTTTTCTTCAAAAAAAGTTTCCATCTCTTGACTGAATCAAATTGTTTGCAAGTTTTTGAACAACAATAATATTGTATTATTATTGTACTACTGTATGAGGCTGTCTTTAAAGATGACATGGAGGCTATAGCTGGTCTACCATACAACAGCTTAAGCATTTAGGGAGGCATCTTGGTTTTCTCATATCACGCTGCTACTTTAGAACCTAAATTAACTCTTATTTGGCTTCTGAGTGCAATTAATCTGGGCACCCTTCAGATTGCCTACTCCCAATTCTGATTGGTAAAATGAATTTTCTCTGAATGTTTTCATCAGTAGGGACTATAGTCCTGGTTGAATAACCACAATTGGTCCCAGCAACTTAGATGTTAATTAAAGCAGTTGCAAAGTGAAGCCACAACTCTGCTTATGATATTATTTATACTTTCCTTGGCTTTACAGACCTTGCAAATGCAATGACTGGTCATAAAGTTATTAATACATCATTGTCATAACTGCAAATGGTGGTTAAATGAATACTATCAGTAGAGGGGTGGACTCTACTGGTAGTATTCAGGAGTACGAGTACGAGGAGTTGCTGTACTCCTCGTTTTTCTTTTTGCACATCAATATTCTTTATTGTTTGATTCGTGGGATTCTTTTTTAAAAAATAATTTTTAAATCTCCTTGGTTTCCCAATCTGCTTAAAACTTTTTTTGCTTTTTGAAAATTCTGTATTATTTTAAATTCTGAAGTTTCTTCCTAAAATGTCTTAAAGAAGGTAAAACTTACCAGTTGTCAATGTAAACTGTTTTGCAGGTCTCTAATATCCAGAAAGTGGTTAAATTGAGCATTTCCAAATGTGATAAGAAAGTGACTTCAGCTGGTTTAGTGTCCTTAGGAAAGGCTCTGCTTCTACTGAGAGCAATGATGTCATCTCCTCAGCCACTGGCATTCAACCTGTTGGAGACTGCTGTTTTATACATAACTCACACTGAAAGCCAGTTGCTGGGTTTGGGATGTTGCAATCTTGAATAGGCTATCTGCTTGATTACTGTGTTTTATGTACCTCTATGTATACGTATAGATCGGGTGTCAGCAACCTGCAGCTCTGGAGCCGCATGCGACTCTTTGGGCCCTCTGCTGTTGCTCCCTATTGGGTGCCCACCACTGGCTAGCCCTGCCCCTCGCCCTCCCCTCCCAGTCACTCCTTGCCTGGCCTGAGAAGGTAAGGGTGACGGCGGGGGATGGAGAAGCGGCCACGGCAGAGACAGAGAGATACAGAGAGAGGGGGTGGAGAGAGAGACATAGAAAGATACAGACAGAGAGGGGGAGAGTGAGGGAGGGAGGGAGAGAGAGATGTCAAAAGGGTTTTGTGGTTCCTGGTATTTTTTAACAACCAGTCATCTGCCCTAATGACGGCTGGGTAGGTGTGGTTGGGGGGGGTCATGTGATTGGTGGAAGTGAGTGACATTGAGTTGCCCACGCCCACCCAGGTTTTGTGACTCCCGGTGTTTTTTTTTCTGTGGGAAACGGCTCCTTGAGTGTTTAAGTTTGCAAATCCCTGGTATAGATGGTGTAGAATATAGACGTTACAGCACTTTGTTACTATTTATTATCGGTATTGTTGTTGTCATAATGTATTGTAAGCTAATTATGGATGTTGAGTATGTACCTTGCTTAGAATCAATAATAACTGGAGCTCTATAGAACTTCAGTAAATTAAATAAACAAACAAACAGAAATGTTTAGGTTAAATTAGATGTTTTTCTATTATGGGGTTGAGGCTGAAGGCTGTGTGTATGTTACTGTCTTTCCCTAGTTAGTTTCTGATTAATTGTTCTCTAATAAATAGTTTTGATTAAGGCTTAGTAAATTTGAGGTTTAATTAGAAGCAGGCATCTTAACAGTGGTAAC